TTGACACTGGAATGCAGCTTGGAGGAATGATGAAATTAATCTGGTGTACAGGTGTGACAGTCAGTGATATAACTTGCTCGTGAATTTTACAAGAATAAAAACTGTGCAGCAATCTGCCAACCACATTGCAGTGTAACTGTGGTGGCAGAAAACCTCTGCACATCTGATTTGTGCAGATGTCAGCTGCCAGCACAAGCAAGTGTGCAGAGTCAGGAAAGAGGGATTAATAAGCAGAGGGATAGATTGGGTCATCAAGGTGCATAATCACATGGTTCCAGATGCAGCCCTGCCTGAGTGACATTGCAGCGGCATCGCAGCCATGTCTGGCCCTTGAACCTGACTCTGAAGCACACAGGTCTTCTCCAAATGTTTTTTTTTCCTCAGCTGTAAACAGTGACTAATGTTACCACACATTATTGTTTTTGAGAGAAAGAATGTGAGATTCTAGGAAAAATGGCAATAAATGTAGAAAGGACTGCAAAAGGACTGTAAAAAAAGCTACATAACCTGAGAAGAAAATTTTCTGTTCTGATTTTCAGCATGCTATACAAGTTCATACTTTGTAAGTTCTTAAACTATATTTCTAAGTCTGGTGTCTGAGCTTCATTTAGAAGTGCTCAAGCAATGTGAATAACTTCTTTACATGTGGCTTCTTTTCTAAACCACAGTGTCCCTCCTTTTCTCTCATGTAGCAAAGTCTCATTCTGGTTCTCAGGGAGACAGCTTGTGACACTTAGTATTTACACATACACTCTGTAAACATGCACACCTTTCACTAAGCAAACTAAAACAGCTGATTTTTGCTCTAGTAAAGCAAACCCAGTGTTTCTAATTTTAAACTCAGATGTGGAGTGTAAAATAAGTTTGCAAGAGTATTTTTTTCCTTATTCCAAGCTCAAAAAAAAAACCCAAACAAAATCTTTCTCTGCAAACTTTCTATATTATTGCATCAAATTTCTCATGAGAAGTTGTTCCCTAGAATATTTCAAAGGTAGTATTTCTCTTCTGTGAGATAAAGGGATTTGTCTCTTCAGTGATAGAACAACTTTTGGAGGAATTTGGGTATGTCTCCAGTTCGACCACATGCTCAGAGCATGGTCAGCACTGAATTCAGACCAGATTGTGAAGGGCTTTTATATGTCAAGCCAGGTGCTGGAAACTTGAAAGAAAGGAAGTTACTCGTGTTCCACAACCTCTGCTGCACTGCTTATTATCTTCACTAGCTGATTGGAACTGCCACTGTTTCAAAATACAACTGTTTTTTCTCCCATGCAAGAGCCTGGTTTTACCTCTTCCTGTATGACTGTGTATGAGAAGATCTAGTCTTGTAGATGTTGGAAGGCTGCTGTTAAGTCTTATCTGCCTGCTTTCTTTCACGCTTGGCCAGCTCAGTTCTCTCATCCACTATGGAACTTGTGCTGCAGCACCTGTCTGTCCTGAATCTTTACTGTTGATAAACTCGAGAAACATTTCTGAAACTGGTTGCTCAAAACTGGAATCAGAATTCCAGATGCACATGTCAATTAAAGGGATTGATCATTTCCCTTGTTCTAGCTCTGCTCTGAGCTGTTTTTTCAGCTTAAGTTGCTGTTAGCCTTCACTGCAGGCTCATTTTTACTCCACTGCCCACCAGAAGCCCCAGATGCTCTTCAGAGGAGCTGAGTGACCTGTCTGTCTCAGCCTGTGCAACAGAAAAGGTTTAGTCTGGCCAAAGTGCAGGGTTTTGCACTGCATTGAGCTTTGTGTGCTTTCAATTAGTCCATTTCTCTAGTTTGCCAAGAGGCAGCCCTGCCCTCTAATTGAATATACTTCTGAGATAATCACTGCAGCTATTTTTTACTGGTTTATGCCCCTTTTTTATTATTTTATAAATATAAATATATTTATATTTATATATAAATATATATATTTACATCAGATGCAATATTTTTCTTTAAAAAAGATATATATATAAATATATATATATAAATAATAATATAAATAATATATATAATATATATTTAAGAAAAATATTGCATCCAATGTAAATTTCAGAGAAATTTTCCAAATGAGGTATTTTATTGGTATATAAATAATTACACTCCTTGTAAATGAAGTTTTTCTAATTAGCTTATTAATGTTCAGGGCTTTCATTTAATAACTGTTTTCAGGGAGAACTGATAGCTCTATATGGTGTCCCTTAGTGCTGCAGCATGTCTAACCTGGAACAAGAAGAGGACCAGACTCCATCTCTGCTCTGACCTGGAGAAAAGAGTGCCACCTGCTGAGCGGATGAGCCAGTTCTGCAAACACAAGTATGTAAAGCAGTCTTTAATCCAAATCCTGACTCAGTGCAATGTAGTTCTTTAATGATATGAGTCGATGTTGTTACAGCACAAGATGTGTCTGTACAAGACAAAGAAGCCATCTAATCTCCTGATTTAATGTAGTAATAAAATAATGTCATACCAGGAAATATGCATGCATTAAATTTTGTTACTGTAAAATTGATAGAAGTGCAGCCTGCACACAGACTTTGCATATGCAGATAAAAGAGATAAGGAGAAAAAAGGCACATAGCAAAAGCTGCTAGTGCAAGGAAGAAACAGTGGCAGGTTCTGGAGACATGAAGACTACACAGTACAGAGAAAAATAATGAAGAGTGTGAAATAGTAGAATCTTTACAGAACACTTCATAAAACTGTTTATTGCTCACAAAATACTCTTTGTTCCATGGTGTTTTTAAAATATGATTCTTCTACTTCGGATATATAAGCTGGTTGATGTCCTTACAGGCCTGTTTAGTCTTAACCTTCTTGGAATGCTTAGGAAGAAGCACAATCCCTTCCTGTAAATTTTGCCCCTTACTGTGTCTTTCAGCTTTGATCTGGCTGTTACTATGTTGCCTTTGGAGTAAAGAATAGAGGTAGATTGCTATCTACCTTACATATAATTCAGGAAACAAAGGACAACAATGTTAAGATGCCTCCTAGACAAGGATAGAAAGCATACTCCCTACTCTGTGCAACCTTAGCATCTGTAGCCAGATGGTGATGTTTCTGCCACTGTCTGCTGCTTTTATGTGATTATGTGTTGTGAAATATGAGACACTGCTCATCATTTCACTTCCCAAACTCCAAGCAGGTGAAGTATGATACGCATTTGTTCTGGCTGGAAGGAAGGGCTAAACTTCACTGTTACAACACTATGATTTACAGTCACAGCAGACTTTCCCCCTCCACACACACAGTGGAAGCTGACATAAGCTGTTTCAATTTATCAATATATGATGTGCTTCATGGAGAACACTGATTGCCCAATACTTTGTAACAGAGAAGGAGGTAACTCCAGATTATGGAATATGTCTTTTTAGTCTGTATTAGGGCAAATTAAACTAGTTGGTTGTATGCCTTTGACTTCAGTTTTTGTCATTATGTGTTCGTGTGTTTAAGTCTGCTTTACGTATTACATAATTTGTGAGCAGTTTTGAACATTCTTTCTATATTGATTCATTGAATTATTAATCTACAGCTCCAATTTATTGATGGTTTTTGAAGAGTAAATGTTTTAATGGGAGCAGATTTTTCCTTTAATGTTTTATTAAGCCAGCGTTTCATCAAATGAGATCTTCAGTTGTGAAAGGAAGAGAAATGCTTTACCGAAAGTACCTCTGGCTGCTGTTTTGCTCCTCACTTCCACATCCCACTGTTACTCTCTATTCTGTGGCAGGAAAAGATTGGGTGTGGTAATTAAACTACCGACCTGGGACTCATCGGACAAACCCAGCTATGCATCAGATACGCTTCACAGTCATGGGTAAGTTGCTTCTCTGGGCACCTTTTTCCATGCATCTTGGGCTTCCCTGGTGAAAAGTTCTGCACAGCAGCCAGGAACTATTGTGAGAGAAATGCCAGCTAGTGTACTCCACAAAAACTGTTCATGTATTTCACTCTATAAAGCAATGGGTGGTAGAAATGAGATTTCCCTGCTGGTCTGAAAAAACGCTGTGCCAGCCTGCAGGTGCTGAATGATCCCAGCCTGGAAGAAGGTAAACACAGTTATGTGCACGTTGGAAGGGAAAGGTTTGCCATTTTCATGCTGCTTGGCACATTTCACTGAATAAGAGTCTAATCTTCGAATGCTGACCTAAATGTTATTTTATATTCTGCAAGTTTTCCTGATTGCTAATGAACTCAAGTATCCGTGGCAGTCTACAGGGGGAGCAATGACGAAGCAGCTGCTTTATTTCCTGCCTTAAGAGGAGCAGTGTGTCTGCATTTGCCAGCTCGCTGTTTATTTTCAGACCAACGCAACAGAGGAAGCCATATTCCAGCAGACGAGCTGAACGTTTTTAGAAACCTCAGCAGTATTGCAGTAAATGTTCGACTTGGAAATAATTTTTTGTTTTACTAAAACTAAATTTCAGGAATGTGCTAAAAGAGCCAGCAGCGTAGATGTGACCTAAGGATTTGCATTAGTTACAAGTCCTTTCTCCCTTCCCTGTTTTTCCCCTTTTACAGCTCCTTCTGAAGAAAAAGAAAAATGACCAAAAAAGGGGAAAACGGAATAACACGTTATTTCTGCTACGAATGGGTTCTGAAAAAACAAAGCCCTTTTAGGGATCTTTGCACGCTTGCTTGTACTTTCCACCGGGAGAGGGGCCGCGAAGCCCGATGGCGCTGGGGCAGGCTGGCGCCGAACTTAGGGCACGGAGCCTGCACGCTCTGCCAGGTGTGAGCACGGCGCTGCACGCCGGGCTTCCGAATCAGTGCTGCGTGCTCGCTCCTCGCTCTCGGGGATTCCCCTCCTTCCCCGCTCGGAGGAGGGGCAGGGCTCGGCCACCGCCAGGACCGAGCGAAATGCCGGCGGGAGCCGCGCTGCGGCTGCGAGGGAGGAGGAGGGCGGGAGGAGGAGGAGGAGGAGTTGAGGAGCCCGGGCTCGGGAGCCTCCCCGCTTACCGCACTAGGAAGTGACGCTTTCCCTGAGTCCCGGAGAGAAAGAAACAAAGTTTTTTGGTGGGTTTTTTCCCTTTCCGCTTTTTCTCTTTCTCGGTGGTCTTTCCTTCCGTGTTTACCCTTTGCAATCTGCAGCCCCGGAGACCCCCGCCGTACCTCGCGGCGCAGGTGAGGAAGCGCGTTTTGTTCCCTCTCCTGCTTTCCGCGGGTTTATTTTCTTCGCACGAGTTGCTTCCGTTCTCCTGCCATTTTGGAGAGGGGGTGCTTCTCCCGGGGCTTTAATCTTGGGGTGCCGAGCTCTGGCTGCAGGCCGAGCTGCACGAGTACCTGTGGCGCCGCCGGAGCCGCGCAGGTCCGCAGGGCCGAGGCCGGGACGGCTGAGCAGGCTCTGCCGGGCAGCCCGCTGCGGGGGTCCGCGCTCCGGATGAGCCGCTCGTCCTTCCCTTACGGGAGTTTCGCGGGCGCTCGGGGGCCTCTCCGCCGCCCGGCTGCAGCGGCGCGCAGAGGATGCGTCTGCGGCTGGGTGAGCCCGTCCGTGCGCGTGGGGTTACTCGGGCGGGCGGACGGCTTCGGGCTTCCCTTTCTGGCTCCGTGTCGGAGCTGGGGCGCTCCGGGGGCTGCGGGTACGGCACCGCGACTCGGGGCGCTCGGTAAGGCGCGGTGGCTCGCCGCGTGCGCGGATTGTGTTTCTCTGCCGGGATCTATGCGACGGAGGGGGTGGGGAGGAATTTATTAGATCATTTCTGAAAATCCCGTGCCCCTAAACGTACGGCTTTTTCTCTGGCAGCAACTGAAAAGGACTGATTCTTTGCAGTTTACCAGTCAGAGCTGACAATACACCCACGCACGTATGTGTCTTATATAATACTTACGGTTTTTTTGCCAGGCATAAGCGAGGTTTATTTTTGGTTTCTAAAGTCTTGTGTGATTGCAGCCTTCAGAATTCAAGAAATATTCTCTCTGCTTGACAGAGATTCAACTTGGCAGCCTCTTTAAAACAAATAAATTATCATGGCTGTTACCAGAAAGAAGCTGTTTTCATTCTGAGTTTGAGTGTGGTAGAAGGGCTGTCTGGAGTGAGCACAGGCAGTCGAGGGAGGGAAAGAGCGAAACGAAATGTCCTAATGCAGAGACTGGCATTAGGTTGTTTGGAGGGCGAGACTGCAGTTCCAGGCAGCAACAGCAGCAGCTTTATGACTGTGTGTAATTACAGAGTGATTGCATAGGACAGAATTGTTGGAATGAATACGCATGCATAGGCCATTGTGCCAGATTTCTGTACTGAACAAAACGTAGATTTGCATTGCAAATGCTAAAATGAGATTTTATTTTGTATTGAACTGCCATGTTTCTCTTAGACTTCGCTGAAGAATTAGAAAGGGGGAAAAGAAGAAGTGGAGTGAGGCCGATCGTAGAAGGCACATCTCTGAAACATTCAGCAGAATTGCCACCTGTAGTGCCTGCAGTCTCAGGGGGCACAGCAAGCTGGTTGAATCTGTGGGTTCGCTTTTCTGAAGTGATTATGCAGAAAGTGAAAATCAGTCAGGTTTGCTAGTAGTTCTGCAGGTTTTGTGTAATTCCTGATGTCATCTTTTTTTCTTGTTTGCTGGTGTGGGGAAAAAAACCCTCAGTGCTGAGTTCAGCTGTCTTGTGTGGAAACGGAGAGAAGAGCATTGAGGAGAGTTTCTGTGTCAGACCACAAAAAATCACGAGGTTGAAAGCAAAGCTAGATTGAACATAGGTTCTGAACATGCTGTTTCAACTTAAGTGGTTTTTAAAGAGTTGCATATTGCTTAGTGATCCTGCTGGCAATGAAAGCTGACAAGATGTTGGAAGTGTGCCACAAACACTGCAGAAGCAAGGTTTTGACTGAGGCTTTGAAAGATCATCAAAATGATGGGCAAAGTCATTGTGGATACAAATAAGAGTACCTGAGATTGGTTTTTCGGAGGTAATGGTTACCTGTAATTTCCATCAGTTTAATTTTGTTTGGGAAGTCCTTGGAATCTGTGTAACATCTGATCCAAAAGATTTCAGATCTGGTATTCAGAAATTTGCCTTTCCAGGATTAGAGAAGATTTTCTGAAAATGTTGCCTTTAACAGTCATTGCTGAGGAGGTAATGAATGTTGGGAAGGCTTGTTTTGAGCACTACAATGAAAAGTGCTACAAAAAAATGGAAAGTTGCTTTAAAATTCCTTGGTATTCCATTAGAACACGCTATTTCAGTTAAACACATAGATTGTCTTACTGTTGTTAGTTTCCTGAGACTGCCAACTTAAATGCTTTGTGTAAAATATATGTAACATTGCTAAGGAAGAGTATAATGATGTGCTGAAGCTGTTTGTTTTGCTTTGCTGTTTTTTTCTTCTCTCAAGCATGTGGCTAATTAACCACAACACTGGACTGATCGCTTGACAAATTCAGTTCCGTAGTGATCCTTCTGTAACTTTAATGGGATGCTTTGTTTTAATACAAAACAAACAAATAACAAATATCTTGTAACCTTTCCATTACTACGGCGTTTTGTTTGTAGATTTTTCTTTGTATTGTTCTTCATGTCCTGACTGGCTTTATATATACGTAATCCTTGGTGTTCTAATATCAATGGCTTCTGGGGAAAACCCAGAATTGTGCTTTAATATTCCTTAAATCATTTGTGGTAGTGGTGCAGTTCAGTCATTCCTTATGTTAGCTTTTGCTTTCCGCAGTTAAGTGGTTTGAGAAAATATTTCCGGCCAGGATTCTTTGGACTTGTATACAAATGAGGAGATAACTTTTACATCTGTGAGTTGTCCTGTGGTACTCTGGGGAATTAGTCACAGACATGTGTTTATTGCCTATGTGCAAAAGAAGCTTAGCCGTGTTAGCCTTTACCCCACCAAGGTGCATGAGAATAGTGGTGATATGAAATGATGAGGTCTGCAGCACAGTAAGAGCCTTCTAAGAGCCTGCGTGCTCATTCCAGAGGTGAATTTATGCTTCTGCACTTTCATTCTTGTTGTCACCCATATGTGGTAGCTGCAGAACTTGCAGATATTTTCGAGCCTGTGATGTTATTCTGTCAAGCTACCAGGCAGTCCTTCAAGATGCCTCAGGAGAGGGCCTCTACCACTCCTTGGAAGCAGCCTTCTTCTGAGTGGGAGTAGTGAGTGTGGTGAAAGGGAAGGGGCTCAGAACGCAGGGAGACAAATGGCTACTGTGAATCAGAATGATGATCTGTGTAGCCGGTGCTCCCCTCTCTGTAGGTAAGAGGAATTACTGTGCATTTCAGCAATTCTTGGGGAATTTCTACTCAGGAAACTCGTCTGATATTCTTTTGAGCTTAAGTAAGTATTTAGCAGTTGCTTTTGTGACCTACTGATCAAATTGTGGATTTAGGATCTTGAGAGGATTCATATTAGGGATAAGACATTACTGGTTTTTGTTGAGGGAAGAAAAAAATAAGGCATTGCGTGACATCTTAGTATTGGTTACATTAAATTACAGCTTATGCTACAACCCAGCGCTGTAAGCGTGCATATTGTTTCCAGTGCAGTTAGTTGTATGCCAAGTGACATAAAAGGAAAGAGAAACTACTCAGTGTTCATCATACAAAATGTTGGTGGGGGCAGAAGGCAAGCATTCAAGTTTTGCAAGACACGTCCAGAAAGTTGGCAAATTCTGGCACGGGCAAGCCAAGGCTAATGAGTCAGCTTCCAAATGGAAGACTTGTCATTGAGCAATTTGTAAATGGGAAGGACGTGCTGCTAATTCAAGGAAATATCATCCTTAGCACCTCCCCTAATAATTGGAATAGAGTGGCACAGAGCTATCTGTCAGAGGGGAGTTGTTCGTGCTTGAATCATGTGTTCTCTCTGGTGCGATTTCAGCGTTCAGACCAACAAACCCATGTTGTGTGATGTGTAGATCCATGAAAGAGGTGATTGCTCAAGCAATAATTTAAGTCTCTGCATTGCATGCCAGCAGCTTGCATGCCGTGTGAAAGATCCTTGGCAGCTACAGCAGCTCCCAGTGTACAAATGGCATGTGTTTCCAGCGTGACGCTGCTCAATAGGTGCTGTGCAACATTTTGCATAACTTCTGTTTCAAATGATCTCCAACTGTAGCCCTTCTAGAGTGCTCTGCTGAGCAACTCAGGCAGCTGAAAAATACACAAACTGTTACGAGAAAAAGCTGTGTACTTCTCACTGGAAAAAATGTGAGTGCATGCTTTTGGCCTGGAGCCAACATTCAAGTATTTGGGAGCAAATGGGGATGCAGGAATAAATGTTGCAATTAAATTATTTGCTTTTCTGTATTAATGCTTTTTATCAAGTTTGGTGCAACTTGCAACCACTTCATTTCCAGGCCCGAATTAGTATGATCCATTATATTATTGTATGGAGTATGTTCAGATAGATATTCCTTGAAATTTGCATCTTTAAAAAGTGGTTGTTCATTTTAAGGACAAATTACATGAATGCATCTTGTTACATTGATAGCTGCTATTAATTAAGAAGTTAAAAACTGGGGAAAAGCAATATTTGAAGGGGGTAGGAAAGTGGTTAGTATTGTTATTTATTTAACAGCATCTTGAAAGGTCTGCAGCAAAGCATAGAATAATACTTTTCCTTGTAGTCTTTAGCACTTGAGAAACTGCAATTTTCTATATTGTTTGACTTAAGTATTGGTGAAGATTGAAACAAGTTAAATGCCATTAATGAAGCAGTGAACTGATAAACGGTTCTGATACATTTTCTCACTTTATCTTACTGGTTTGTTACATGTCCAGCATTAGCATGCAAAGAGAAAGCAATTGGAATCAAGTTAGTGTTCAGACCTTACTTCTTTGCTATATACTATCTTCGCACGTGAAAATTGGTTCTCAATTGCTTGGCCATCCCCTGCACTATTAGGAGAGGCTATAGTTGCATAATATATATAGATATATCCTCTTTGTCATATTTGTTTTGGGAAAATAAATTATTTGTTTGTTTACTTATGTATGCACACAAACTGTTGATATACGCTCTTAAATCTCTCATTGTCTTATAACTCAGTTTTCCTGAGAACAAATATTTCTTTTTTCTGTGGTGTTGGAGAAAACGGTTGGTAAAGAAAAGCTGTTCTTTCAAGCTTGGCTATCTTTCTTGTTAATCTTAATTTATTGTTTAATTGTGTTTGGTA